GATGGGTTAATTACGCCCTTCTCCCTGCGGGGCCAGGGCTCGGGGAAGGGGAGATTGGGGCTCCTGCTGAGCTGCTGCTCATCAGTCTCCTTGAAGCCAACTCTTCCAGTCAGCCTTCGAAAACAGGGATTTATAGTGGCCATCCAGACAGCCGTGTGTTGCCGTGCTCACGCGTGTTGCCATTTCCTTGTTTAGCACTGAATTATTTAACACGGTGCCACTGTAGCAAGAGGGAACTTGGAAGATGAAAAACCAGCTAGAGCAGATAAGAAGCATCCGGCCTTCAACACAAATCAATCGTTAATTCTGAGCAAGTCACCCAGATTTCAAATCCAGTAAGAGCATGTTGTGAGATCGGCCGGAGCGGAGCCGGTCGGGGTGACCCGACCCACCCGCCGGCAGCGGGACGGGATGTGCCAACGGGCACCCACATCGCTCGCTCCGTGCAGATGCGGATCCGCTTGCTGTCAGCATCTTCCCTTACTTCTTATGGCTTAAAATGATCTTTTTCCAGAGAGGCAGCCCCTCAGAACGCCGTATCTGAGGGCTGAATTTTCCCTTCGGGTCCCTGGAGCGGATCCCGGCTCCGGTCACTCCTTGCCCGGCTGCGAGGAGAAGGGTTGGGGCCGCTCTGCCCGTGAGGAGCAGAAGAGAGATGCTGCCCTGGCTCTTTTTGCCCAGCCAGAGTGAGCTGAGCTCTTCTCCTCCAGCAGCTGGGTGGGACTGGCCAGCACGGCACGGCACGGCACGGCATGGCACGGCACGGCATGGCACGGCACGCACCACCTCCACCACCCCAAACCTCAGGCACCACAAGCAGAAAAGAAAGAAGAACAAGAGAAACAAAATACATACGCTCAGGCACACTGGGAACACACAGGTAACAAAATCACGGCCTGACTAGAACAAGATAAATATTTTAACTACAAAATGTAATTTCCGAGCGCTACGGGGCAGGGTGGCGGTGGAGCGCGGGGACAGAAGAACAGATGATCCGCTGGAATAACCGAATCACGCATCCCAGAAATGGATCGTTCCGGCCACGCGAACAGAAGCGCTATTAATTCAGAGATAAAGCAAACACGGCAGGAAAGTTTTCCCTATCAAATCAAGCGGTGCCTGAAGTCAGCCACCTCAGCGTGGCGGCCTGACACCCCCCGGATCCGGGGGCTCCGACCGGACGCCCACTCTGGCAGCTTCAGGGTCCTCCAGCCTCTCGGATAGCCCCCGGACCGGCCTGGCGACCGCGCACCAGCTCCACGGCTGGTTTTTGTGCTCAGTTTCTGGCATCATCTAAAACCCAGGACAGAAAATCCAAAGCATTCCGGAGGGGCCATGTGCCAGGGATGCTATCCCGGGAAAAGCTCGTTTCTGCCTGGGAACGCCTCTGGATGCCCTCTTGTTCATGCGTGCTTTAGGGACACAGCGGGTGACAACGGAGGGAAAGTCCAGGGATACAAAGGGAGCAGGAAGTTGAAAACACGTGGGGTTTAACCACGTTGGCAATGGATTGGCAGCGTTTTGGCTTAGTAAATCTGAGGACAGAGTATCGAGAGGTTGTCACATTATATAGAAAGAAGAACTATCTTAGGCAGAAACAAATGAGAACCAATTATAACTAAATAGACCTCATGCACAAATAGAATTTGGCCATTAAATATCATTTATCCCATTTAATTAGCATTTTCTGGACACAATACTCTGCACTAAGATACCGTTCCATCTCCTTGGAACTTGTAATTATTGTTGTGACCTGTACTGTTACGCATCCCCCTGCTTTCTCCATCTTGCATGCCATTTAGGAACCGGCAAGATTTTCCATTATCTACGCTGAACTGTCAAAGATACCTTTAAAAGAAGGGGAATAACGTGTGACTCAATTCCTCTGAAAAAGGGGAGAGATCATTTTTAGTCAGAACGAACACACTGCATCTTTCATCATTCTATTTTTTGCGAGTAAGAGTAAAACAGGCTATTTAAAACATCCATTTAAATGCAAATTTTTATATTCCAGGAAGGGGGGGGGGGGGGGGGGGAAGACTGTTTAGGAGGTA